GATGTATTGTCTTCATGTGTGTAACTTGTTTTGTCCTTCCCTCCCCCTGAATTGTGAGCCGCCCTGAGACCCCTCAGGGAAAAGGGCAGCATACAAATAAAGTATATTCTATTCTTTCCTGTTGTTAGTTCCTCTAACCTTTTACCTTAAGGTGTCTACCGTGGAACTTACACATTTCTTAAGAGGTCCTTAAGGGGGCATGCATAAGCGCACCAGTGTGCCTACTGTCCTGTCCTACTGTCCCATTTATATGTACTCTTTTTATGTGTTTATGGCTATGTTTCGCTTATTTAAATCCATTTCTGCCATTTTTAAAATGTGTTTTCATACTTGTTTCCTTATACTTGTTGACAAACAAACAAACAAATAAATCTTATCCTCCCCCAGCTACAGCTCGATTGGCTGAAATGTTTTGTTCAAAATCTCAGGAGTACTTTTAAAATTATGCCTGTAGAAAATATACTGAATCAAAAATTTGCATTTTTTTTCTATTTTGCATATTGCACTTCAATATACAAATTAAATAACAACGATCCTATGATCCAGATTGTATCTTATATTCAACACTGGATTTTCTCAAGCTTAATTTGATAAGTAATCAGAGCAAACAACCAAAACAAACCATTTTTGTCATGCTGAAACATGACACAAAACAACTGAAGAGCTTGCTTCCAAATACAAATGGGGTATCTGATATGATACTGGTAACTGGAGCAATTACTGGTTGTAAGTTACAACTGTTAATAGATACTCCATGTTCAGAAATTTCCTGCCATGGGAGTTGCAAGTTCTTTATCTCTCTGCTCTTCAGTTGTTTTGTGTCATGTTTCAGTATGACAAAAATATATATGTTATATTTGTGCTGATAAATAAATAAAGGGAGACTAGTATAGATCTCTTTCAAGCTATTTATCTCTCATCAGCTAGCCATACCCTTACTGGGATTCGAATAGGGGCATACCAGGGGTTGTGACACTATGTATGTATGTATGTATGTATGTATGTATGTATGTATGTATGTATGTATGTATGTATACATACATACATACATACATATATGGCTATACAACATTCTATGCGCATTCGGCGTTTAGTCATGCCAGCCACATGACCCCAGAGAAGTCTTCGGAGAGCAGAGCACTGGCTCTTTGGCTTAGAAACAGAGATTAGCACTGCTCCCTAGAGTCAGGGATAACTAGCACATATGTGCAAGGGGAACCTTTACATTTACCTTATAGCCATAGGATCTGCACCTTGATAAGAAGTATGATGTTTTAGTGCAATCCCCTTAGAGAGATCAGTTGGATTTTCAAACTAAATGACTGTAAAAATAACAATAACAATAATTTTCAAATTCATCCAAATATATCAGGATGATAGGCAAAGAAAGAGGTAAAATGAAAACCCCACCTGACTGCATTTGTTTGCAATATAGTAAAATTTTAAATTTTTGAACAGGGAGGTTAGGGTTAATAAATTACAACTGATTTGGATGCATTCTCCAGTCTGCGCCACTCTTCTTACCACATATCCCCATATTACAACTGGCCACATTTCTCAGAAAAAGGTGAAGGTTTCCCCTTTCAATCCCCTCAAAAGGGCAGCACTCATCTGTTTCTTAGCCAAGGATACTAGCATAGTCCAAAGACATTTTGGATATGGTCATGTAGCCAGCATGACCAGGGGTGAAATGCTCTGAAGTTTGCTACCGGTTTACTTCATGTGCATGTGTGCCAAACACGCGCTTCATGCGCATGCGCATTGCAGGCACTACCACGCAGCACTGAAAAAGGAGGATTAAGAAGTCTTTTCTGAGTCTGCAAAGATAAGTACAGCAGCGAGGAGGGAGGAACAGCTGTCCCACACAATTTAAATTTGCTAGAAAGCAGCTGATTGTTGCACAGCTGATTGTCAGAACTGGGTAAACCGGTAGCATTTTTTACTACCGGTTTGGGTGAACTGGATCGAACCGATAACATTTCACCCCTGAGTATGACTATACGTGGAGGCACATGCAACGCTGTTACCTTCCCACCAAAGTTGTACCTATTTATCTAGTCCCATTTCCATGCTTTCAACCTGCTCAGTGGGCAGAAGTGGGCCTAGTAACGAGAGCTCCCCTTGTTGCGTAGCACTCGGTTCTCAAACCTGGGCCGAGCCATCACACCCCTTCTTTCCCAGTACCCTCCCACTATTATTATCATAAATATTCCTACCAACCTGTCACCCCAATCTACAACTGAATGCTTTACAAAACATACAGAATGGTATGTTTTATTCAATTTAGCATTGAATGGCACAGATGAGATTTAACTTAGAAAAAAACAACAACTACTACTCATAAAAAAACCTTAAGTTCCTAGATAACACTCCTGATTTGAATTATCTTCAAGGGCAAGCCATATACGATACATGATAGAAAGCCAAATCAAAATACCAGCACAGAGAATAGTCTTTAGAATAGGTGTAGATGATTACAACTAGAACCAGAAGAGGGAGGGAGGTCTCCTACCCACTGAGAACAATTAAACATTGGAAATTAATCCTCTCTAACCTCAAACCTGCATTTATCCCAGAAGTAGAATTCAACCTAGAAGAGATTCTGCATAGAGATCAACACTTCGTAAGGCCTCAACCTTTCCCAATAAAAGTTGCACATTTTATTAATTACAATAAAATTAACTTCACAGTAAAAAGAACTAGCAATATGGAGAACCCAAATCCTTCAATATATTTTAGGATGACAGATACAGTAAGACAAATAGTATACAGAATTATACTATTAATTTTCCTTGCTACATTTCCAAACAGATAAAATCAACCGCCAGTGCGAGAAATAATCAGATTAATTCACTGCTCCAATAAAAATGTCTAATATTTTATAAAACTATTAAACCAAATCTCCTTTGGAAATATAAATGATTTTTGAAGGGTTATAGTTTAAGAAAAGAAACACTGCTAAGACTGTGACTTTTTAGCTATAGTAGATAAAAATCTTTCTAGAAGTTTTTTTTTTTTAAAGTTTTTTTCCCATTTTTATCAGATCTTCAATCACATTGTTATCCAGACATGATTAAGTCCTTTACAAGCACAAAGAAAATTAAAAGTAATATAAAAGAAGGTTTAAAACAATGAAACAATAATGATTATTTTTTAAAAAGAGAATTTCAGAAGAGCTCGGATGCACATTGAAAAAGCTAATTGTTCACTAGTACATTTATTCTATGGAAAGTAAATTGCCCAGGAGTTCAATCAAAACATTTCTGGGGTCACTGACAGTTGTTATAATATTTACAAGTGTATTTTAAAGTAATAAATTTCAGCAGAAGTTTATCATCTGATAATATACTGTAGTTAATTTTGGCGTATGTTATTGACTTTGAAAACATCTATCCTGTGGTGCATGTCCATTCTAGGGGCAAATTGAGACCTGTAATGTACTTAGATGGATCTCAAGCTGGACAAGTGATTAGCTTAGTTGACTTTGGATTCTTATAGCTCATGAATTTTACTATTCAGAATGATATCAATGCAAGTAATCCCTGACTTACTATCATTTGTTTAGTGATTATATAAAGTTATAGTGCAGTGATGATGAATCTTTTTGGCACACGGTGCTCAAACCAGAACACGTGTGCATACACATGCATGTATATGTGTGCGTGTGCTGGAGTACCAGATACTCAAAGACCAGTTTGCTGCCACGCACATTCCTGTTTTTTGGCCATTTTTGGCCATTTTTTGGCTGTTTTCAGGCTATTTTGGGAGCATTTTCAGGCCATTTCTCGGGCTATTTTTGGTCCAAAAATGACTAGAAAATGGCTTGTAAACAGCCCAAAAAAACAGCCTGTAAATGTCCAGAAAATGGCCTGAAAAATGGCCTGAAAATGTTTTCCAGCACTCTGGTGCCCACGAAGACCAGCTGGCCAGCGCGCATGTATGCACCGGAAACATGCAGCTGAACGGTGCATGTGTCCACAGGGATGATTCTGGATGCCACCTGTGGCACGTGTGCCATAGGTTCGCCATCATGGTTACGTGGCACTGAAAAAATATGACTGATTTTCACACTTACCGTCACACCAATCCCCTGGTTCCATAATCCAGATTTGAACCCTTGGCAACAGATCATACAAAGTTGCCATGTCCCAGGGTCATTGGTTCGCCTTTTGAGATCTTTTGACAAGAAAAGTCAATAGGGAAGCCAGATTCACTTAACAGCCATGTTACTAATTTAACAACTGTAGTGGTTCACTGAACAACTGGGGTAAGAAAGGTCATAAAATGAGGAAAAATTCACTTAACAACTCTCTTGCTTAGCAATGGAAATCTGGGGTTCAATTGTGGGTATAAGTCAAGGACTACCTGTATAAATTGATGATCCTCCCTTGGTCTCTTGAAAGATTACAGTTTCATGAGCAAATAATAGTTTTATGAGGATAACAGTTGTGACAGCAGATGAAATTAATCTGTTTAATAAAGAGATTAGTTGTTACCAGACTGGTACACATATGAAGAAAGGTGACTGCCAGGATGGTAGTTTGTGGGGAGTTTCATATTCAGCTGATGGGATAAAAGTATGTCGTTCAGTTTCTTCTCCAGTGACAGATAGTTCTCCGATAATTTTGATATCTAGGTGAGAAACACACACAAACATATATAAAATCAAACGATACACCCAAAGGGAAATCAAAGAAGGGAAATCATTCTGAGAAAGAGGATGAACCATTACTTGAAATCTGGTCCTTCTATTATGGATACTTTTCTTACATTAAACTATTACACTATTTGAAATCAAAATGTTGATCATTTTTTTCAGTATTTTATTTCAATGGGTTCTGTTTTAATGTGGACTGAATTAACTGCTTTATAGGAGAGCGGAGGGGGAGGGAGAGAAGGAGGAGAGAGAGGTGGAGGAAACATGTCATTTCTAACTGCCGAGGTGGCACAGTAGTTACAGTGCAGTACTGCAGGCTTCTTACAATAATAAAATACAATAGGAGAGTGGGGACCTTGGAGGTCTTTTAGTCCAACCCCCTGCCTAGGCAGGAAACCCTATACCGTTTCAGACAGATGGCTATCCAACATCTTCTTAAAGACTT